TGATCTCGGAAACCAGGTCACTGTAGTTTGGGGTTTTAGGGTTTGGGGATGTTTGGGTTTTCGTTTCATGGTTGAGGATTTAGGGTTTTTGGTTTCTAGGGTTTAGATTCATGGTTTTCGGGTTTCAAGGTTTAGGGTTTTCCGGCTTGGGGTCTCGGGTTTAGGGACAAAGGTTACCACAAGGCCTGCCATAAAGGCTACCAGAAGTGAAGGGTTACCAGATGGGATTTAGGGGTTTACGGCGCTTGGGGCTGTGTGGTTCGTGGGGTCCAGAAGTTCAGGGCAGCCCCTAAACCCTAAACCCTAAACCCTAGACCCCTAAACCCCTAAACCCTAAACCCTAAACCCCTAAACCCTAAAGGGTGTTCCGGGGTTTCAAGTTTGTTGGGTGCTTTGGGGCTCTGCAGCTTTGGGTTTCGTGTGTGTGTGTGTGGGGGTTAGCGATCCACCCTCTCAATCCCGACGCCCGGGTAGTGTTGGAGTTGTGGATTTCGGTTTCGGATTTGGGTTCTTGAGGTTTGTGTGCGTCTAGTGACTAGTGGTCTTGGCCTGCAGTTTCAGGACCCCTTGACCGCCGGCTGGATCAGCTGGAGGTAAAGGTGGACAAGCTGCAGCCCCTTGGCGGTTGCAGTGTGAGCTATCAAAGTGCTCGAGACCTTAATGGTTAGATTTCAAGGTTCGATGTTTTCTTAGGGGGTGCCCGAGTTTAGAGGCCTTGCTTTGATAGTCGGATGCCTGGCATAGTTTGCACAGGGACCCTGAGCAAGGTCGCAGTCTCTCAGCAATCCCCACACATACTGCATGCATGCGTGTGCATGCATGCGTACGTGCGACAATGCAGACGTACGTGCATACATATATACATGCATAGATGATCATGCATGTATGCATACATACAAAAGATGCCTACGACCTACGTATGTCTCCTCAAACCCTAAACCAACCTTACGTCCGACAGTCGGCGCCCAAAACACAAAAATCTAGTTCTTCAGGCCTTTCCACTGGGGCTCTGGGACCCTTAAGCCACCCTAAAGCCCAGAAGGTTCGACGCCAAAGCATGAGCCCTAAACTTCTCAAAAACCGTGAAGCCCCTCAAAGCCCTTCGGGTTTAGGGTTTGGGGTTTACGGTTAGGGTTTGGCTCAAGACCCCTTATTTCACCTAGAAAGTAATCCTTATTGCTGACCCGGGTAGTATCCCTTTTTTTTGTCACCCTTGTTGTATTCCGTGGTCCCCTACAGGCACTTTTATAAACAACCCTAAACCCTAACCCGAAGGTCGGACTTGCACCAGAAGGTGGACCGAGTGCACCGGGATGTGGCCCGAATTCTGCACGCGCTGTCGGCCCCCTCTCGCCAACACCGGGCCTAGGGTTCTTGAGGGTCTTGAGGGCTTAGAGTTTCGGGCCTAGGGTTCTTGAGGGTTTAGGGTTTAGGGCCTAGGGTTTTTGAGGGTTTAGGGTTTAGGGTTTAGGGCGTAGGGTTGTTGAGGGTTTAGCGTTTAGGGTTTAGGGTCCTTGTGCCATCTGGAGTCCTTCAGGGGACCCTGTGGTAAAACATCCATAAAGCTTTCCTAGGAAATCCTGCACAAACCCTAACACCTGTAGAAACATCGTAGCAGCAGGGGTCCCTGAAGGGATTCACTAAAGCTGAGGATGATTCGCAATGTCTTTCTTTTTTTGTACTCCCTACAGAATTCGCATGTAGTATACCAGCAAAAAAGGACCCCTTTATAGAGGGATCCTGATTGCGAAGACCCTTATATCACTGCTTTCGCTGAGCCCGAAGCGGGGGCTGCGGGGGATCGAAGCCCTCAGAAGGATGTAGCCATGGGGGTTTTGCGTCGGATTTCAGGATCAAGAGAAGTGTTAAGAAGCGTGCTTAGGGCCTTGATAGGGTTTAGGGTTCCAGATTCCAGAATCGGGATCATACTGGCAATCCCAAGCCAGCTATCGGCGCGCCCCCTTGGCCTACATGGGAGTTTCCGAAAACAAGGGGTACCTTATTTTGGGGCCCTTATAATAGGGCTTAATGGGGGTCCTACTATTTAGGGTACTATATTAGGGTCCCCTATTTTCAGAAACCCTGACTTCGCTCCGACAAGCGGGGCGATGGACATCTCCGCCTAAGGGCGGCCGAGCAAGGCGGCCCATTGGGCTCAGCTTTGCTGATCTCCTTTAAAGGTTCGCCTTGAGGGTTTAGGGCTTAGGTTTTCGGGTTTAGGGTTTAGGGTTTAGGTTTTAGGGTTTAGGGTTTAGGGTTTCTAGAAGGGTTCCTGAAAAGCATAAGGGTTCCCATGAGGTTTAGGGTTCCTACAAGAGTGAGGGTTCCTGTAAAGGCGGAATTCGCGAATCGAATTCAGCCTCTGGCCTGTGGTGGCTGCCCCGGGTCAACGAGCTTGGGAATCAGGATTCACGTGTCTAGGTTTCAGGGCTTTGCTCGAGGTTTTGGGTTGAGTTTGGAGGTTTTGGATTTCAGGGGTTTGGGGTCTCCGCTTGAGGTGTAAGCGGGTCTGGCCAGGAAGAGGTTGAAGTGCTTGTTTCCCCGGGCAGCAGCTTCACCCTTTTTGCGAGGGGCGAATCACGCCGGCGCGCTTTGAAAGCCGCTGGCTGCATGGGGGCAGCGTGAGCGAGAGACCATGCCTTGACACATCTCAAGCCCAACCCTGAGCTGTTGAGCCCTAAACCTTAAACTTTAAACCCTCAACCTCTAAACCCTGAACCTTAAACTTTAATCCCTTAACCCCTTAACCCTGAACCTTAAGCCCTAAACGCCCTAAACCCCGAACCCGAAGTCCCAAAGACTTCGATGATGGAGGGTTTCACAGGGCTTTCTTGAGCACTGTGTTCGGTTTTGAGGGGGATTCAGACAAGGGCTTATGGGGGTTTAGGGTATTCGTATAGGCTTAGTTTAGGGTTTAGAATGTAAGAACCACCCGCTGAGAATGATTGGAATGGGGATCCCAGTCCTGAAAGGCTAGCAAGGCCTTCTGGAGAAAGGAGTTTACTCAGAACCCTACACTGTTATATGCCACTACAAACCCGAGCAGACTGGTAGAAAAGCCCTAGAAAACCCGACTACTTCCCCCAAACAGTCCGAATAGAACCCTGCAGACCCCGTGTCCGACGTCTTCCCGGAAGCATCTCGGATGGCAGCCCTTCGCAATCGCTGCTCTGCAACTTTTTAAGAGGCTTAGCTTCACAGACCCTAGGAATCCAAAACGCCTGACAGCCAAAAAGTCGAAGCAATAAGCCCTCGTTCTTGAGGCTTAAATGAAACCCGAAACCGTAAACCCTACATGTCACTTAACCCCAAATTCTAAACCCCAAACCTGCATCCTTGAATTCTGAGGCGTTTAGGATTTAGGGTTTCGGGGTCATCTTTTTGAACGCCGCGAGGTTTTCGGCAAGTTAGCAACGGGATGCTTTACATGCGTCCTTGCTTCTGTTCGCAGAAAAGTCGCTCGGTGCGCATGTCGATACCCGAGAAGCTGAAGAGCGGTCCAGCCAAAACGAAGCAAAGACACCTGCAGCCCCGAGCCGTGAACGCTGAACCGTGTTTCGGGCTCAGGGGGTTCATGGACCTCCTAAGCTTTGTACCGACTTTTGTAATTCGAAACTCCAAAGTGTGAAGGCGTTGAGTTTTGGGATCTACGGGGTTTAGGGATTTAGGGGCTGAAGTAGGGCAGGGTCTGGAGTTCCCACTGCCGCTTCAACCCCCAAAACCCCCCGGGGTCGCCTAAATCCTAAGCCTTAAGCCGTTGAGGGCGTTATGGGCCCGAATTAAGGCTTCGCGGCACCGAAGACCACCCGAGTCCCATAGCCCATCATCTTATTGTTCAGGGCTTATAGGGCTCAGGGTTTAAGGTGTAGGGTCGGTTTAAGGTTTGTCACTTAGGGTTCAGGTTTAGGGCGTTTGGAACTCTTGAGAATGCCAGGGCCTTCCAGTCCCCTAAGCCTCAGCTCTTCTAGACCGCGCAGTGGGAAGCATCCTTGACTGAGGTTTCTTCATGCTTAGATTTGGCCTTGGGGGTATAGGTTCGTATACTTCTGTTGAGGAGTTAAGGAGCCTGAAGCCTTAAGGAATACTACTGGTAGTTACTCAGGACCGTATATGCCCCCCCCTTCCGCCACAAGATTACTACCCCTTCCACAAGAAAAAACACCAATCAAAAACGCAAAGCGAAGGACAACTCTAAACCCTAAACCCTTCTGCGGATTGGAAAGCAGGCGCTCAAACCAAAAACCTAAACCCTAAACCCCTAAACCCTAAACCCTAAACCCTAAACCCTAAACCCTAAACCCTAAACCCTAAACCCCTAACTAAACCCTAAAAAACCCCGGGTCCCAAGATTCAGTGCTACAGGGGGTCTGCCAGATTAGAGTTGGGGTTTAGGGTTTAGGGTTTAGGGTTTAGGGTTTAGGGTTTAGGGTTTAGGGTTTAGGGTTTAGGGTTTAGGGTCTGCAAGATTAGAGTTTCTCTTCCTCTGGCATCCTGAATCTAACGATGAGTGTAAGGATCCCCCAAAGCCCCTAGTCGAATGATTAAGGGCTCGATCTCCTATCGCGAAGCCTTCAACCCTAAACCCTATACCTAAACCCCAAACCCTAAAGCCTAAAACCTAAAACCTAAAACCTAAAACCTAAAACCTAAAACCTAAACCAAAATCGCTCTTTCCGAACTCGGACTTCGAATTTCTGTGCTGCTTCGGCCGGCTCAAGGGCAGAGCTTGAGTTCCCGAAAGCAAGAGCCTGATGAAGAAACCCGTTTAGGACTAAGAAGCCCTTCGGATTTAGGGTTTGGGGTTGAGGGATTCAGAGTTCGGGGTTTAGCATGGGTGTTCAATTTGGACACGGAGGACTCTGAAGATGTTTCGGCCAGGTTCTGGTAATGAGACGAGATTTCAACTGCAGCACCCAGCCTCCAAACATTTTTCGGGGGAGACTTGGAGGAGTTCCATGGGCGTCGGACCCATTCGTGGGCAAGGCGTAGAATCAAAGCCGATGGAGACATGCTTCGAGCAGCCGTGCTGCTCGGCGCGACTTGAAGTGCCCCCAGAAGTTATTGAAGCGGTGCGGATGGAACTGGGAGACACTGCTCCTCCAGATGCAGGCCCGGACGGTCGGGATGTTGAGTCTGAGCCATCCATCGCAGCTGCGGTGTCGGCGTCGCCCTTCGCCTGCCTCGATTCGCCGTCTTTATCCTCGCGGCCCCGAGGCTCCACGTGGGATACAGTGGGGCCACCAAGCAGCCCAACTACTTCTGTGGCCGTGTCAAAGACTTTGACGAAGGAAGAAAGGCTTGTTTCGGGCGGGTATTCCACTGTGGATGACGAGATTGTTTGGGGTATACCTCTCCGTAGATCTCTGAAAGGACTGGGGCGGGTCTGGCGCTACAAGCCAAAAACGTGGAAGCCCGCCCAGCGTGCTGCACTTCACGAGCTTTCGCAGCACGTGGAGTCCTTCGACGTGTTCCTCTCGCACACGTGGCAAACGCCTGGTTGGCACAAAGCTGTAGCTCTCTCCTTCCAATGTGGCTGGCGGAGCACGTTTGCCCTGTGGTGTGTAGCGGAGCTTGCATCCACTGCTTTGTGCCTCCTGGATGTGCTACCGATGCCGTTGCCATACAAGGCAAACGTCATAGGGTTCACCGACGCGTCTTGGCCCGGCTGTCTTAGTGCCTGAAGCCCTCAACCGGCTAAGCCCTTGATTCAAAGAGCCCCCGGGGCATGGCCTGAAGCGACAACCTTAAAGCCACATAGGCCCGAGGACTGGGTTTGGGGTCTAGGTTTGGTCCATCTCAGGCTTCTCTCTTAAACCCCCACTACACCGTGCTTGCAGTCTGCTCAAGATTTCTGGAGCCTGAACAACACCCTAAGCCAGGAATCCCTCCAGCCCAGGAGTGTCCTATGGGCCTGTGGGTTTACGGTTTTGGCGCTCTCGCTCTCCTGTTGGGATGGTTTCTTACGCCCCACTTGCCGGATTTTTGCAGTCAGCCGGACATGGGCTTCATCGATGTCGTCAGCATCCACCAGGAGGACGATACCCAACACCCTCAAAGCCCAAAGCCCGAACCCCAAGTGTAAAGCTTCTAGTAGCTCTTCTGGTAGGTTGCGGGCGCATAGGGCGCCGTGTTACTTTCCACGATTTTCATGCACTTCACGACATTTCGCATGATTCCATGGGCTTGGGGTGGGGTCGATGGGGGGGAGGGGCGGGACGGCGACCATGCCCAAATACTATTATTTACAGTATTTTGGTGGCCACTTTACACAACATACTGAAGGATGTCTGGCTTCGATGCACTGTCGCAAGCGTTTATGTCTTGTGCGCGCAGGCCTTGACCACTGATATGTACTGTTTATCGCCACTTTATACAACATACCGCCGGAGGATGTTTGTCATGTCTGCTCTGTTGCAAGCATTGCTTCCTGGTGAGAGCATGCCCAAAGCACTGGTATTGACAGCGTTTTTGCTTCTTTGTGCAAACGATAATCGCCGTCTTACTTACAACAGTTTCCGACAGGGGCTAGCCTGTATATTCGCGACAAACCAAACCTGTGACTTGGAGCCGAGAGGTGTGGGAATGGTCTCGCCGGTTCGGCCCTTATTTCAAATCCACGGAAACAGAAAAACCATGCAACTATCATTCCGATTCAGGGTTAGGATTCAGAGTTTGTGAGAAATCGTCATAGAGATAATTGCCTTCAAGAGTTTGGCCTCTCGCTCGTGTCCTGCACCCTTCGGAGAGACAGGTTTGCCTTGATCCGCTTAGCAAAGGGGCTTGAATTATTTGGATTCAGTACCTACCCACTACGGCTCCCGAGTATACTTATAGTGCTAGCTGCTTAGTCTTATCATTCGGGCCATGCATTAGATAGCCACCGAGTGTGCTTGAATGGGGCCATGCGGAAGGGCAGTTGTAGCAGAAACACCAATACTACTATTCTGAGCTTCCTTAGAATTTTATGGCATCATTTACCCACCCAAAACCCTACTCTCGTTTGTTTACTACCCCTATATTCGGCTTCTGAGTGACACGCAAGATGAACCTCATCACCTCGAACCTTGGACCCTTCGTAACTTAGTCTCACACGCCTTGAGGACAGTCTTCTCATGGAGCGGGGAGTCTACGGCATCGCCGGATTCTTGCGCATTTCCTCGGAGCTCCGCGTGCTGTGGAGCGCACCCTACCTGCCAGGGTCCGAGAAGGGTCTGCGCTGATCAAAGTCGCACCGGGGGAAGCTGAGGACCTGGTAGTCTATCTGCGCCCCGAAATCCCTAAGCCCTAAACCCCTAACACGCACAAGGTTCCTCATCAAGGACCCGAAGTCATTCTCGGTGGGCCAGAGCGCCGGCTTCTGAGCCTTTGCGGGTTTAGGGCTTTAAGGGTTAAGGGTTAAGGGTTTAAGGTTTTAAGGGTTTAGGGCCTGGGGGCTTTTAGGGTTTAGGGCCTGGGGGCTTTTAGGGTTTAGGGTTTAGGGTTTTTAGGGTTTAGGGTTTAGGCTTCTGAGCCTTTGCTGTTCTTCTGACTCGTCTTCCGGGGTATGGGTAGTTCTCTAAACTCTAAATTTGGGTCCTTTTTCAGGTACTTGCTGTGTTCTTCTGACTCATCTTACGGATATGGGTAGTTTTCGCTAAATTCTACATTTGGGTCCCGTTTAATGTACCTGTTTCAAGGTACTTGTTATAAGGGTGCCGTTTTCTCTTGGGCTCCTAAAAAAGGGCCCCAGTTTGGAGAAGTCCACGAAAAGGGTTAGTAGGTTCTAGGGTTCAGGCTGGGGATTAGGATTGCTAGCAATATAGGGGCCTGAATAATTAGAAAAGGGTTTGGGGTATACTAATCTATAGTTAGAATAAGGAAGCCCCAAAAACCTATTCTAATTATTAACGCCCCTAC